CCTCCAGCGCCGCCAAATTCAAACGCCCGCTCCTCGTCGTGATGTTGAACGCGTCACTGCTGTTACTCGTGGTGGTGGCGGTGGCGTCATCAGGGGTGGAACTAGTCGTGGTGCCAGTGCTGGTGCTGGTGGTGGTGGTGCTGGTGCTGGTGCTGCTTGTGGTTGTGGACAAATCGTCGCTGTTGTCGGTGAGCAAAGTGCTGCCGCCAGCGTGTGAGTCGACTTCCTCATCAGCGTGGTCATATCCAGCACCACCATAAACATCGTCACGGTACACGTCATCGTCCCCACTGTCATATTCATCGTCGCTGGCGCTGTCCTCCCTGTGCTGCGTGAGGATGGACACGGCGAGCTGCCCGTATGCGCGTGGCATCAGCATCACGCCCGTCGCCGTCATCAGCTCGTACAGGTCCTCGCACGAGGCGTCTGGGAACTGGTCGCGGTGGTCGAGGCGATGTTGCATGACCTTCTCAAAGTGCATGGACGCCACGGGCAGCTGCCGCTGGCACATCTCCCGCAGCGTGCGCATGGTGAGGGCGTGGTCGTGGACGACGATGGAGAGGGCTGCCATGAGCCGCGACTCAATCAGCCGCTCGGTCATGGGCCGGTCCAGCGACGTGATGGCCAGCGACGAGTAGTGATCAAGGTTCAGCAGCATCTGCAGCCCAAACAACGCCTCCGCATCACCGCCCTGCTGCTGCTGCTGCTGTTTGTGTTGCTTGTGTTTGTTTTGTTTGCGTTGGTTTTGGTGCTGCTGCTTTGGTCGTCGTTGCTGCTGGTGGTGGTTCGTGTTGTCAATGGTGGTTTGCGTCGTGTCAGTTGTGGCTTCGTGTGTGGCTTCGTGTGTGGCTTCGTGTGTGGCTTCAGCTGCTGCACGGCCAATACTGTCCCCACCGCCCACTGCACCATCCACACCCGCCGCCACTGCCTCCATCCCATCACCACTCTCGTTCTCCTCCTCCTCAGCATCACCATCATCATCATCATCCCTATCCCTATCATCGTCGGCTGCCTGCTGCTCCTTCTCTGCGCGTGCGTGTTCGGCCTGCAGCGTCGTGAGCGTGCCCAGGGCGTGCAGGGCGTTGTACATCTCCGCCGACGACCGGTAGTTGAGCGAGCGCTTTGCCCACCGCATCACCCGCTGGCACTGGGCCACATTGCCCGTCTTCAGGTGCGCCAGCATGTACATGTCAATCATCGTGTTGGACGGTGCCATGACAGAGTCAGGCTGTGTCAGCTCCGCCACCAGCCGTGCAATGCCATTGACGTCACCAACTTGCGCCAGCGCCATCGCCATGCGTTCGTATTGCGTCACCGTCAGCAGCTGCGTGTGGCCGAGACGAGACAGCTGCTTGATGTCGTTGAAGATGCGTCGTGCGTTGCGTGCCTTCCCTGCCATCGAGTACGCCTGCAGCAGCAGGTTCAGCTGCCGCGGCGTGTACTGGGGGTGGTCGTGTCTCCGCCCGTGCGACGCTGAGCTGGACCCGCTCCTGCTCGTGTGGGCGTTCGTGCTCGCGTGTGTGTTCGTGGTGGTGCCAGTGTTTGCGATGCTGTTGTTGTTGTTGGTGCCGTTGTTTGCGTTGGTGTTTGCTGAGGCCGTGCCACCACCGCCAGCAGCCGCTTCATTATCATCGCCATCACCATAAACGCCATATCCATCATCACCGTCATCGTTCCCATCATCGTCATCATCGGCACCAACACTGACACGAGCACCACCACCAACACCACCAACAGCCCCACTGCCACTGAAGTCTCCACTTTCTGCGTGTGTCGATGATGGCGGCTGTACCAGGTCGATGTTTGCAAGCAGCTTGTCCACGTCCCCCATACAGGCGTACACCTGCAGCAGCCACGCGTGCACGCGGTGCGCAATCACGCCGTCCATCTGCACAATCTCGTTGCACAGGTCCTCGCACTCCGACGTCAGGCCCAGGCTCACCATGGCGCGCAGGAGCTTGGTCAGGTGCACGGGCGACAGGTCGACGCCGTTCGCCGTCATGTCCTCAATCACCGCCACGCACGCAAACGGGTTGCTCATCCACGCGTACGTTCGCAGGAGGTGCGACCACCCGCCCTCATAGGAAGGGTCCACCTCGCGTGCCTCTGCAAACAGCGCCGACACCTTGTCTGCGCGCATCGAATATGAGGCTGCCATCAGCATGGCGTCGTACGATACGGCCGTGCGGGGCAGCCCGCTGTTGCGCAGCCGCTGCCAGTACAGCTCGCTGAGCCCAAATCGGTGCGCGCGCCCGCACGTGACGATGGTGATCGCATACATGAGCTCGTCCGGCAGCGTGCCGTGCTGCTGCATCATGGTCCACAGGCGCATGGTGAGGTTTGCGTCGCGCTTCTTCGACGCCTCAAACAGCGCCACGTGCCAGTGGTGCCGCTGCAGCAGCGCCCCGTTCTTGATCGCCCTGCGCATGATCGCCTCCACCCGGTCCGAGTTGGTGCGCATTTCGATGGTCAGGTCGTCGCTCATGCGGTTGCGAAACACCTCATGCACAAACAGCGGCCGGTCCGACGCGCTGGTTGACGCTGCACGCCGCGCTGCCGTGTGTGCGCCTCTTCTGTGCTGGAGTGGCATCCTTGACATTGGCGCCACCGTTGATTGCGGTGCTGCCTTGCCTTTTGATGCTGGCAGCGTGAAAGGCGACTGCGATCGCTGCTGCTGCTGCTGCTGCTGCGGTGATGTCGCCCGCTGCGCCGCAGCAATGGCACCAATCGGCGATCTGCTGTTGTGTTGTGTGTTTTGTTGTGGTTGCAAGAGCACAGAGTAACGGTGCTGCTGCTGCTGCTGCTGATGATGATGATGATGCTGTGACTGTGATTGTGGATGGCGTGGCTGTGCGCCCTTTGCAACAGTTGCTGACACTGCAGCAGCTGCTGCTGTGGCGGCGCCATAGCGCTGCACAGACGCTGACACAAACGAATCAGGGTGTCGGGTGAAGCTCAGCTGCCTCAAAGCATGTGCTGGCATCGATGCTGCTGTTGTTCTTGTTGCTGAACACGACGTTGTCGCACCGAGCGCGTTCAGCACGCGCCCTCGCTTCACTGCCGCCTGCGCAGCAGGCCTGCACGACATCGTGTGTGCTTGTGAACGTGCGAGAGAGAAGCTGGGTGGGTGGTGGTTGCGCTGTGTTGCCTGTTGTTCTTTCACAGCAGCAGCACGTGTATGTGAATGTATTTTATGCTGTCGTGCATCAGGTAGGCAGTGCTGGGTGGGCGCAACGAGCAACAGACAGAACAGGAGGGGAGCGCACCAACACCACCATCATCCTCATCATCCTCGCCATCCTCATTCGCCTCTCGCTCGTGATCACCGTGCCACTGCTGCTGCACATGCGTTGCCTTTGCAGGACATTCACGAAACATCATGGGGCAGGCAGCAGCAAAGACGGCACGGCGGCTTCCAACGGTGCGGTTGCAGCTGTGTGTGTGTGTGTGTGTGTCTGTGTGTGTCTGTGTCTGTATGTGTGTGCCTGTGTCTGTATGTCTGTGTGTTTGTGTGTGTTTGTGTCTGTCTGTGTGTGTGTGTTTGTGTGTGTGTGTGTGTCTGCGTTTCTCGTCCCTCACTCCCTCACTCACTCACTCACTCCCTCCCTCACTCACTCACTCACTCACTCACTCACTCACTCACACCAACACACCAACACACCAACACACCAACACACCAACACACAAACACACAAACAAAAATAGGAAGCTGCAAAGGTGGAGCGCATCAAGGAGGTCCAGGGAGCCGCCCAAGCGGCGCGCGCTGCACAGAAGCACAGCCAGCAGCCACAACAACAAACACAAGCGAAGGCACAAGCAACCCGCTCGGAACCATCAGCAGCACCAGCAGCAGGACAAACACAGCAACAAGCACAGCCACAGGAACAGCGCAAGCAACCTTCACCACAAGGTGCGTGTGTGTGTGGAGGGGGGGTTGTGGGTGTGATGATTGGCGGGTGGTGATGCAGGGCGTGCTCCGCCACGCTGTGCCGTTGACTTACTCACACACACACATACAAACACACACACACACACACACACACACACACACACACACACACACACACACACACACACACACGACAGAGGAGGCATCGTTCCTTGAGGCAGTGAAGAAGCTGCACATCACCTCGCGGGAGGCACCCGAGGCCGAGTTCCAGCAGCACCCATCGCCAGCCGCCCCGCCAGGACGCGTGGCACAGGAGCAGCAGCCCGCTGCGCAGAAGCAGGCCGCAGAGCACGCGCGGGCACACGAGGAGGCCATGCTGCGTAAGGGCCACGAGGAGCGCACGCAGCCCAACGCGTTTTCGCTGCAGAAGGAGTCTGCCTCGTCCATCCAGCAGCGGCACGCGGACGAGCTGCTGGAACATGTGGAGGGTCGGCTCAACTTCAAGCAGCTGCGAGCCGTGTTTGCCATGCACCAGCACGACCCATCCAAGTTCACGCCGGCCATGCTCGCGTCACGTGTGAAGGTTGACGCGTCAAAACTGGAGACACTCTTCAAGCACGCCACCCTCCCCGATGCCCTCCTCATGGCTGTGCCCGCCGACAGCAGCGGTGACAAGAAGGACGCTGGTGAAGCTGATGGGGATGGTACTGTTGATGCTGGTGCTGGTGCTACAACAGCAGTCAAAGAGCAGAAGCCAAACATGTAAATGTAATGTCGTGGTTTTGACGCGTGTATGTGTGTGTGAGTATGTGTGTATGTGTGTATGTTGTGCTTGTACCCTTGTGCGTGCGTGCGTGCGTGCGTGCGTGCGTGCGTGTGTGCGTGTGTGTGTGTGTGTGTGTGTGTGTGTGTGTGTGTGTGTGTGTGTGTGTGTGTGTGTGTGTGTGTGTGTGTGTGTGTGTGTGTGTGTGTGCATGTGGCAGCGGCTGCAGCGCGTCGTTGTTTAATTGTTAACTTCTTCCCAAAGCAGGGAACGCTACGGCAATCACAACAATAGAGAATGATGACACATTCACATCAAAGACAAATGAGCGAGGATTGGAAACAGGAATGCACAGCCCTTGCATCCAACACTCCAGCGAGCACACAAAACAAAACTGGAAGCGCTTCTCATGCGTCACACACACACACACACACACACACACACACTCCCTGTCTCTGTCACTCAAACGCACATGATATCACACACACACACACACACACACACACACACACACACACACACAGCGCACGCAACATACGACATGCGATCACTCTGAGAGATCTTCAAAGTTCAGGCGCGTGGCGATAGACTGAAACGTGCCAGACTTGTCAAACGACATTCGAAACGTGTCTGCGCGCCCGCCAAAGAAACGCCCCTCAAAGGCAACACCATCATCGTCACCATCGCCGTCGTCGTCATCATCAATCCCAGGCAGAAGCGCACGGCGAACAGGCCGTTTGCTGCTCCCAACACAGCCACCGCCATGGCGCCGCCCCATGTGGCGTTTCGTTGCGTGGTGCGACGGCGTGGTTGCGTCATCACCACCACCATCATAATCACCACCATAATCGTCATCGCCATCACCATCAAACCCGGGCGTGGGCAGCGGCAGGCCAATGACGGTGTCTGTAATCAGCGGAGCCGCCACACTCTCGTCCCCATCGTGAATAATCGCTGGTGGAATGGACAGACGTTGCGCGCGTGGTGCTGAGGATGATGGTGTTGGTGACGACGATGACGCCTGTGCTCGTGCTGGTGCTGGAGGCTGCAAGAGGCGCCGCCGCACGGGCCGTTGTCGTTGCTGGCGCGATGGTGATTGTATGTAGGCGTCTTCAGCACCACCATCACCCTCGTGACCGGCACCATGTGCACCGTGGGCGGTGATGGCGCCCTGTGCGTTGAGCTGCGTGTCAACGCCAAGCAGCCACGTCGCGTCCACATCATCACCAAACAACACCTCGTCACTCGTCGCATCACCACCACTGCCATCACCATCACCGCGAGCTCGGGCAGCGCGTTCCTTCGCACCGCCTCCAACAGCACCTGCCGCCCTCGCATCTGCGTCTGCAACTGCTGGTGCTGGCACACGCGGTGTAGCGGGCGGCGGTGTTGGCTTTGGCACGGGCGTGACCACCTCAAGCTGCTCGCCCTCGTACGACTCATCCCACGATGCCATCGACGCCGCCACCACATGCGCAGCGTACGGCGGACCCGCATACACGACAAACGGCTCAGGCGACGACGACGACGACGACGCTGCGGCGGTGGCGCCAGTCTGATCGCCATCGCCAGCACCAGTATCGTCACCGTCACCTCCGCCCCCACCACCACCAGCGGCAGCAGCAGTCGTAGTGCCAGTGCTTGTCCGCCCTGGTGTGTGTGCGGCGCGGCTGGCTCTGCTTCGGCCGCCACGGCTCGTGCTGTCGTCACCAGCACCGCCACGCATGTCATCCACCAGCAGCGAATCACGCATGCTCGCTGCCCCACTCCTCGCAGCCGCCACTGTCGCTGCGGCTGCTGTTGGTGTGAGGGCGCCGCCATGTGCACTGTTGGGCGTGCTTGCAGGCAACCGCGTTGGGCGCGATGTTGAACCGCCGGCAAGCCGGGCCGCCTCAACAGCTGCTGCGGACAACACGGCTTGCAGGCGCTCTGCATCGTCATCAAACACGTTGAGGTTGCCCGTGTATGGATACAGGTTAGGGGCAATTGACCCATCTGTCTCCTCAGACGTGATGATCGCTGGTGGCTGCAGCCCACGCACCCCACCATCATCGCCATGGTGACCAGCACCGTGATGGTGATGGTGGTGGTGATGACCGTGGTGGTAGTGGTGGTGGTGGTGGTGTTCGTTGCTGTTTGCGCTGATGACGAGGGGCAGCGGGACGCCAAGCATGGCGGCAACAAACTTGTGCTGGTCGCGGCGCGGCGCCTGCAGATACGCGCGCGCCATCTGCTTCATAATCGCCTTCTCCTCATCCTCCTCAAGCAAGGGGAGATGCCCACCAAAGATGAGGTTGTACTTGCACACGGGGCACGTGTAGTGCACGCGGAACCAGGGCGTCAGGCAGCGGTAGTGGTACAGGTGGTGGCACGGCAGCTGTATCACAGCGTGCGGCGCAGTGTCCAGGTTGAGGCTGTCCAGACACACGGGACAGCGCGACTGGCGCACCTGCGGTGGTGGCGGTCGCCTGAAGTGCTGCTGCGGTGCTGCGCGCGGATCGTAGAAGATGACACGCCGCTGCCCGTCCTCAACCACCTCATACATGTTCGACATGTTCAGCGCGCTGCACGCGTTGTTGTTGTTGTTGCTGTTGCTACTCGTGTTGATGGTGATGGCGCCGCTGCTCGTGGCGTGATCACCGTTTGCACCACTGCTGTTGATGTTGTTGTTGTTGCTGCTGCCGTTGTTGTTGGTGTTGTGGGTGGTGTTGTTGGCCCGATTTCGTGCAGCAGCAGCAGTGTCGCTGACGTGCAGAGCAGCAGCAGCGGCCGTGGCCCTTCGCTGGTGGCGGCGGCGATGGCGCTGGTGACGGCGCAGGAAGTCGTGCAAGCTCTCATCGCTACTGCTCGTCTCATCATCATCATTATCATCACCATCATCATCATGATCGCTGGCGTCACTGCTGTCGTCACTGCTCGTGTCCGCTCCATCGACATTGTCGTGATCATCATCATCATCATCACTGCTTGCAGTGCTGCTGGCGACGCTTGTGCCGGCTGAACCGCTGCTGCTGCTGCTGCTGTCATCGTGGTGGTGGCCGTGGTCGCCTGTGGTGGTGGTGTACAGGCTGCTGCGCGTGCTCTCACTGCTCTCGCTGAACACGTCGTAGTTGAATGGAAACGGCACGCGTCTCGTTTTGGGGATAAATGCGTTTCGTGCTGACGTCACCGCAATTGGACCTTTGTTCCGACGGCCACTAGGGCCTGTTGCGCTCGTTGCCCGCGCGGGTGTGGAGACGGCATGCGTTGGCGTGGGCGTGTCAAACGTAAACACCTCTGCACGGATGCGTGGTGGCGCCTCACGCTGCTGCTGGTGTTGCTGCTGTTGGTGTTGGTGTTGGTGTTGTTGTTGTTGTTGTTGCTGTTGTTGTTGTTGCGTGAGCTGCTGTTGCTGCTCGTGGTCAATAGCATCACCAGCACCATCAACAGGGTTGAGACCAGCTGGGATGCTCCCATCACCACAAACAGCATCTTCATCACCATCGTCACCTGCGTCTGAGCCGGAGTCGATGTCACTGGTTGGAAAGTAGAAGTTGTTGGTGCGCCGTGCAGCCTCAATCGCCCGCCGCCGCCGCAGTCGCATCAACACCCGCTCCTCCTCCTCCTCACCATCATCATCATGATCACCATGATCATGATCAGGGGTGAACACATCCACGTCGCCGTCACAGGCCAGCGCATGGCTGGTGGGGTGGCTAGTGGCGTTGGTGTTGGTGCTGTCATTGTTGGTGTTGGTGCTGTCATTGTTGGTGTTGGTGCTGTGGTTGTTGGTGTTGATGCTGTGGTTGGTGCCGGTGGTAGCAGCAGCAGCTGCTGCAGTTGCTGTGTCGTGGCGATGGCGATGGCGATGATGGCGGTGGTGGTGATGGTGACGCGTTGGAAGTGGGCGAGCAAGCACTGGCTTGTGCTGCTGTTGTGGCTGTTGTGGCTGTTGCTGCTGTTGCTGCTGCTCGTCTTGTTGTCGTTGTTGTTGTTGCAGGGGTTGGTGTGATGGCATAGCCTGTTGGAGAGTGTTCACGTGCGTGGTGGCATCTCTGCCCTTGTGGTTCTCGTCAAAACGGTGCGTGAGAACAACACCCGTTTCTTTCTCGACACCGCAGCCAGCACCAGCGGCAGCATCTGCATAGACGGTGTCATCTGGCGATGTAAGTCCCTCCTGCACCGCCTCGAGGGCGAGACGCTGCTTGCTGGTGTGGCCTGCGCCATCATCGTGGGACTGGATGGCGCGTGCCTGCAGGCAAACTGCGCGCATGACGCTGGCAATGTGCATCATTGCCTCCCGCACCTCCGCCATCTCTGGATCGTCGGCGACCAGGCCGGCAAAGCTGGTGTCACTTCCAGCATCACTGCCGCCATAACCGCCGCCATGGCCGCGTCGGTGACGGTTGCGATGGCGCCTGCTGCTTGTTGCTGCCGCTGCTCCGCGCGTGTTGCCACCACGCATGCGCGCAACGACACCAGCGAGGCCAAACCACCGCCACACCCCGGTTGCACCAGCACCAGCACCATCGCTGGCGGTGTTGGTGCTGTTGCGGTGGTCGTTGAGGTTGGTGATGACGGTCGTTGTTGGCCGCCCGCGTGCGTGTGCACCGTCGCGAGGGTGCGGGTGGTACCAGCGGTGGTACGCCATGGCAGTTGCCACCACGCACACAACCGCAAACAGCGCCGTGAGCGCAGCCAGCACATATGTTCCCGTGTCTGCTCCACCATTGCCGCTGCTGCTGCTGCCGCTGCCGTTGTCGTGGTCAGCACCACCATCACCAGCTGCTGGGTCAAGTGGCGACGTGAGCAGAGACCCGTCCATGCCCTCTGGCACAACGACGAGGCGAAGCACAGGTGTGCTTGCAAGCAACGAGCGAAGCGGGCTGTTGTTGCTGCTGCTGACCGTGGTGAACCTAGGAGTGGGCACGGTCGTGTTCGAAGCCACCCCCACAACAGACGACGACGACGACGACGACGACGATGACGACGATGACGATGATGAGGAGGAAGATGATGTGGTTGCGGGGGTGTGGATGAAGTCCAGAGGTGAGGAGCCGTTGGTGTGGAGGAGGCGGAGAATGTGTTTGCCATTCAGACCAGAGATTGACAGGTGCGGTGGTGTGCCGTCCACAAGCGCAGCTGTCGATGAAGACGAAGATGAAACAGCATCCACGCCATCTGCTATGCGTGGCGACGCTGGTGATTGCCTGTCGACAACAGTGTCGGAGGTGTAGATGGTTGCTGCTTCGTCGTTGATCAGCACGCGGAAATGCCGCATTGCCGCTGCGCCATCACCACCACCACCATCGTCATCACGGCTGTTACCATCATCATTATTTTTGCGCTTGTCGCGGTCAACCCAGGTGGTGTACGCGTGTGATCGCTTCTCGGCGCTGGAGCCATCGAGCGTGTAGATGTAATCGATGCTGTCGGGGGACGCCGAGAGCACAAGCGAGTGGTTGGCCTGCGCAGCCATGCGTGCCTGTGTGAACGGCGTGCATTGGGAGTGCGGCCGGGTGATGGCGATGACACCGAGTCCGCGAAACGAGGAGAGTGGCGGCGGCGGCACGGAGCACCCGTCCACCGGGGTGGAGGCCGTGATGAGCACGTGGATGGGCGTGGTCATTGTCGTGTACTCTGCCAATATGGCGGGAAACTGCAGACCAATCCGCCCATCAGCCGTGTACAGCGTGCATCGAGCGTAGCGCGGGTGGGAGGACGACGACGACGACAGTGAAGATGAAGCCGCCACTGGTGCAGCACGAACGTCAGCGACAAAGATGGCGCTGGTGGCGAGCATGACGGCGGCGAGGACGACGAGGATGGACGGCCACAGCAACACATGCGCACGACGTGCTGCTGTTGGCGGCGCTGATGATGTTGGTGTTGCCGGTGGTGTTGATCGTCGTTGTCGTGGGCATCTGGGCACGCATGGTGGTGCCCGATGCATCATTGTGCGAGTCAAGCGCAGAGGGAACGGAATGGCGATCAAGGATGGTGTTGTAGGAACAAGGAGGAGGAGGAGGGGGAGGAACAAAAGGGAGGAACAATCGGAGGAACACCACGGAGCTTCAATACATACGGAGGCACGAACAAATAAATCAAAGGAGGTTGGTGCAGTGCAGTGTATGAGAACCGTGGTCCACCGCACACGCGAGCGGCAACTCACTCACGGATGGATGGATGGATGGGGGTTGGCGAGTTTGCAGAGGGAATGACGACGCCAAAAGCACACCACACGCACACCACACAGGAAGCAGAAAGAAGTGCGCACAAGCGCACGCCAACGACAACGGCGGCCTGTCGGCCTGTGCGTGATGAAGCAAGCGCGGTGGTGGAGCAGGGCAACAACAACCGCTGCTGAATCACGGGCCAGGTTGCATGTGAACCGCGCCGCAAACGTGCCAACAAGGTGAACAAGGGAAAAGTGCAAGGAACGAAGGGCGTGGACACGAACTCGCACAATGCGATGCGATGCACTCTCAAATGCAGGTCTCACGAGTGTAAACGCGAGGGAAGGAAGGAAGGAAGGAAGGAAGGAAGGAAGGAAAGGGTGGAACCACAGTGTTGAGGGGTGGTAGTGGAGGTGGTGGTGCTGCCGGCGGCTCGCTGCGCGTGTGTGCTTGGGCTCAAGACACAGGTGAGAAAGTGCTGTGCAGATGAGTGCAAAGCAAGCGCACCTCCACAACAGCACAGGCGAGGAATAGTAAAGAATACAACACAAGAACACAAGAACACACGGCAACACCACCAAGGCACGCTTGCTCGCACCACTGAGTTGCGTGCGCGGCGACATGGCAAAGGCGCGTGTCACCAGGCAAACCAGCCACCGTTGGCCGTGGCGAAGGTCGCGCGAGTGGGCCACGCCGCTGTTTCAAAAACAGTGGCAAGTGAGCGTTGCAGTGCAAACCACACGGTTCACCTGCACTTCACCGCCCATTCGCAACACACAGCCAAGCCAATAATGGAAAGCAAGCCGGCACAACACGCTCGGTGTTGGAGTGCTCACTGTGCAACCGCCGCCATCTCCAAACAACCCTGATGCCACTGAATTCAGTCATCGGTGTAACACTGAATTCAGTTTTGTCACTTCAATTCAGTCCCACGTGAAATCTCACACAGTTTTTGTTGGAGGTGTTGTTGCTCTGATAGTTGTTGCGTGTTCAGTGGCGTGAACGATGATGAGCGTGGTGATGATGGTTGCGAAGAGTGGTGCCAGTGGCCAGAGTGACCGCGTTTGAGTGGTGAGGTGTGTGTGTTTGGATATGTGTGCTAGAATGTTGAATACCCACACTGGTGTCGTGTGGAGATCTCACCGCTCAACATGACAAACTCACACATACACACACACTTTTGTTTTGTGTGCAGGCACGATATTCACACGCTTTCGTTGGCAACGCTGAACAACCACGGAGCACGCGCGCACACATACAACCAGCACCAACACCAGTAACACCAGCAACAGCACCGATACCATGGCTCGCCGGCGTCAGAAGAAGGCAGTGCCCATGTCCAGGTACAGAATTAGGAAGCGGGGGGAGGGGATGCCAATCATAAAGTGCGAACGTACAGAATGCTTTGTGCGTTTGTTCATCACACTGTGTGTCCGTGTTGTGTCGAGAGCCATCGTGTATGTGTGTATGTGTGTGTGGTGCAGCATGCTCTGTGGGAGCGTTCGTTTGTGTGGTTGTGATGTTGTGTCGACGCTGCTGGCGTTTTCAAGCCCCCTCTGTTCACCGTGCCGCGTATGTATTCACGTCGTTCGCCCGCTGTCCGTCTGTTGACGTCCATCGTGCCGTGGTCAGAACCATGAGCTCATCCTCCATCGAGGAGGAGCTGCCACGCCCTCCCCGTGAGTCGACAGCCATGTGTGTGTGTGTGTGTGTGTGTGTGTGTGTGTGTGTGTGTCTGTGCATCTGTGTGTGTATGTGTGTGTGTCTGTGCGCATGTGTGTGTATGTGTGTGTGCGCGTTTGTGTGTGCTGTGCCAGTTTGCTGCACCGTGCGTTTGCAAATACGCACACACGTACACGTTCATTCGCATCGTACTTCCGTTGCTGCCATTCGTATCAACAGCCAACGTGCGAAAGAACCTGCCAGTGAAAAGCGTCGTCAAGGTATGTTGCGTAGTGGCCACGACGGGTGGTGATGGGATAGTGGTACTCGATGCACGCGTGCAGCTAGCGTGTGTCGACGCGATCACACACGCACACGCTCACACACACACACACACACACACACACACACACACACACACACACACACACACACACACACACACCCTCTCACCATAATACCCACACACACAATCACCCTCTCACTCATGCACACTGCGTGCCTTTTGGCTGCTTGCGTTTGGCGACCAGATCTTCACGGTGGCGAGCCGGCCCAACTTCCGGCAGCCGTGGCAGATGAGCCAGCAGGAGTACTACAAGGGCTCCGGCTTTGTCGTCCAGAACAACGTGCGCCTGATGCAGCGGAGGAGGGGAAAGGAGAAGAGATGGGAGGGGACGAGTAATGTGGTGGGAGAGTAGGGATGGCAGAGTGTCGGTTGTGCGGCTGTCCATGTACATGCCCACACGTGTGCATGCGCATGTGCATAATATTCGCTTTGTGTCGTTCTCACCACCACAGCATGCCACGTGTTGTCACATGCGTGCACTGCAGTACATTCTGACGAATGCGCACGTGGTTGCGGACTACACGACCGTGCGCGTCCGGCGACACGGCGGCCACCACAAGTTTGTCGCAAAAGTCCTGGTGAGCTGCGTGTGTGTGTGTGTGTGTGTGTGTGCATGTGTGTGCGTGTGTGCGTATGGATGTGTGTGTGTATGTGTGTGTGTGTGCGTGTGTGCGTATGAGTGTGTGTATGTGTGTGTATGTGTGTGTGTGCGTGTGTGCGTATGTGTGGTGTGTGTGTGTGCACCCTTGTGGCTTGGAAGCATGTTCTGTGTTCGTTTGGTGCTCTCGCTGCACCGGCTGCGATTGCCATTTGTAATTTGCCGCTGTCGTCCTTGTTGTCATTGCTCGTATCGTGCAGTGCATCAACTACAGCTGCGATCTGGCGCTGCTCACCGTCGACGACAAGGCCTTCTGGAAGGTGCGCACATACACACACACACACACACACACACATACACACACATACACACGCACACACACGTGCCGACACATTGGTGGTGGTGTCACCGATGGTGGTGGTGGTGGTGGTGTTGACTACTGTGGAGGCTATTTCCTTCCTTTGCCATCTCGATGTTATGCATGCACACAGTCTACTAACATACACACACGTATACACGCCACGTGCCTGCCGCCACGACTGCTGCTGCTGCTGCTATTGCTACTACTACTACCACTGCTGCTACTGCGCGTCAGGATCTGCCTGCGCTGGAGGTGGCAGACGAAGTGCCGCAGCTGGATGAGCGCGTCCTCGTCATCGGATATCCAATGGTAACATGCACTGCACTGCCATTAGGGTTGCCGTGTCCCGTCATTGCATGGATGGATGGTGGTGATGGCAGTGGCATTGGAGGTGATGGTGATGATTGGTGGTGGTGATTGGAGGTGATGGTGGTGATTGGTGGTGGTGATTGGAGGTGATGGTGGTGATGATTGCTTCTTTGTGGCCATCTCGACATCTGTTCATATTCACCCCATATGTCACCGCATGCCACCATCTATGTGTGTGCGTGTGTGCACAGGGCGGCGACACGATCAGCGTGACGCGCGGTGTGGTGTCTCGCGTTACCACCCTGAGTTACGCCGACTGCAAGTTTCCGCAACTCCTTGCCTCATTCCTCCTCGTCGTCCAGGTGGGGGGGGGGGCACGTGTTAACCATAGTCTGTTACTGTTGCTACTGTTGTTGCTGTAATGTGGTCGTGATATCGGTCGTGGTGCTGTTGCTACTGCTGGTGTTGGTGTTGCTGGTGCTGCTGGTGTGCATGTGTGGTTGTATAGGTTTCCATGCTTATCATCGCTGCCTGGTGTGATGGTCTGTGTGATTTTGTTCCCGCAATTGTCTCCATTTTTTCCGGCCGACGTCCTTGTTCATCTGTCATTGTAGATTGATGCCGCCATCAACTCGGGCAACTCTGGCGGGTGAGGCGCACAGCACCTGATGCACACACACACACACACACACACACACACAACACACTCACACAACACATACAGACACACACACACAACACACACAGCACACTCACACACCACGCGCCCACTAACACACAGCACATACACACACACTCTCTCTCACATTAACTAACGTATCGCATGTATGCCTGACGCAATTCCATTTTTGTCCCTTTGCTTTTCAGCCCCGTGTTCCGGGAGAACGGGAAGGTCGTTGGTGTCGCGTTTAGCGGTTACGCCGGCGCAGCAGACAACATTGGTGAGGCACGAGGGGAGGTTATGGTGGTGGTGGTGGTGGTGGTGGTGGTGCGGGTGGTGGTGGGTCATGTGTTCTCTGGTGGCCCGCTTGTTTGTGCACAGGGAAACGATATGTTGTCGAAATCGCCGCATACGCACATTCCCATCTCTCACGCCATGCTGTGTGTGTGTGTGTGTGTGTGTGTGTGTGTGTGTGTGTGTGTGTGTGTGTGTGTGTGTGTGTGTGTGTGTGTGTGTGTGTGTGTGCAGGGTACATTATCCCGTACCCCGTGATCAAGAACTTCCTTGAGGACTATGAGCGGCGTGGGACCTCCGACGGCGTGTGCGACCTCGGCTTCTCCTACGAGCTCTGCGAAAACCAGGCCATGCAGAAGATGCTCAAGCTCGCAGGCGACAAATCGTGCGTTGCTGCTGCTGTTGATGGTGATGGTGGTGATGGTGGTGTGTGTGTGTGTGTGTGTGTATTGGGGATGAGAGAGCCGAATGACTTCGACCATTTGCCTTCTAACACTTTTCACCCACACCCACACTACTACTACACACACACACACACACACACACACACACACACACACGTACACACACACACACACACACATCCCATCCCCCTACCCTACTCCTGCTGCCGCTGCCGCGCCGTTCGTGAACGGACTTCAGTGGTGTGCGCATTGTGAGCGTGCGCCCGCTCGGTGCATCGCACAACATCATCAAGCCGGGCGACGTCGTCATGAAGATCAACGGTTTCAAGGTAACAGCGGCACACGCACACATACACATACACATACACACCACTCGTTTTCCCTCCTGTTGTCCATACATGGCCGTGATAGCTGTGACAGTGAGGTGGACACATCGCCGTGGCTCGCGTCGTGTTGCTTGTCGCTGGCGCTGCTGTTTCTGTCACCACAGGACATTCGCCCACACATACTTTGTTCAACATGATTGTTCATGTTTTCCATATTTCCACCCACGTGCACCTGCCTGTGACATTCGTCGCGCATCAGGTTGCCAACGACGGCACAATTCCGTTCCGCCAGGACGAGCGCGTGCACATGTCCCACGCCATCACCAGCAACTCGGTACGTTCTGCGCAACTGATTGCTGTGTGGATTGCTTCCACGTTCTCGCATTTCTCCGTACAATTCAAACCCGCGCGCGCGTGACCTACTTTCATCATCATCATCATCATCATCATCATCATCATCATCATCATCATCATCATCATCATCATCATCATCATCATCATCATCATCATCATCATCATCATCATCATCATCATCATCATCATCATCATCATCATCATCGCCACCTTCACGCTTTTAACGATCGTTGTCACCGTGCACCTGCGTGTGTGTATGTATGTGTGTGTGTGTGCGTATGTGTGTGTGCGCGCCATGTTCGGGGCAGCTTGGGGAGGATGTGGAGGTTGTGCTGCTGCGCGACGGAAGGAAGAAGACGGTCAAGATTAAGGGCATGCGCACCCCAATGCTCATCCCACCGGTAACCCGCCCGCCCGTGCAATCATCTCCATGCATGATGTTTTGAGTGTGATGTCGGTTTGTGTGTGTGTGTGTGTGTGTGTGTGTGTGTGTGTGTGTGTGTGTGTGTGTGTGTGTGTGTGTGTGTGTGTGTGTGTGTGTGTGTGTGTGTGTGTGTGTGTGTGTGTGTGTGTGTGTGTGCTTCCTCCTTGCTCACCATCACCATTACCACCAGCCGTGCCATGCTTCTCACCCTTGCACGCTGTTGTGTCTGCCGTGCTGCGCCAATCAGTTCCGCAGGGACAAGGAGATGCCGTCTTACCTCATTGTTGGCGGCGCCGTCTTCACCGTCATGACGGGAGGTGCGTTGGTGATGATGGTGCTGGTGATGCTTTGGTGATTTGCGTTTTCAAGAGGAGGTTGGCGTGATGCATGGCAGCGTTGGCACAGAACGCCGGCTGCATGTCACATCACTCAGATGCCAGCGTGTTCAGCACGATCAACACGCCACAACAACCCCAAACAAACACAAACACCCCAACACTCATTTCCGTGTCCTCATTAAACCCTGCACCCCGTTTTTTCCCTCCCCCGACACCTTGCCACCGTGACGCCCGCCCCCCCCCCCTTTTGCTGCTGCTGCCTTAGGGCTGCTTGATGCCGCTGTTGACGAGTTTGACGACAACGCGTGGGAGTACTCGCGGCGGGCGAAGAAGTATCCCGACGAGCAGCTGGTGATCCGCATTGGCTGGCTCTCCCACCCGATCAACCACGGATACGCGTCGCACCGCGCCGAGCGCATCGCAAAGTGCAACGGCGTCCAGGTTCGGCGTGTTATGGCGTTGTGTGTGCATGCGTGTGTAGAAAGGGGTTGTGTACTCATGCGTGCGACTTTGCTTGTGTATGTCCATGTGTGTGTCATTGGGTGTGTAATGGGGGGGGGGTGTTCGTGCGTGTGTGAAAGTGTGCGTGTGTGAAAGTGTGTGTGTTATTGTGTGTGTGTATGTGTGTGCGCGTGCACGTGCACGTGCACGTGCGTGCGACTTTGCTTGTGTACGTTCATGTATTCCATTACTTGTGCGCTGACGCCACGCCCATTATTCACCATCAGCTCACCACGTTCCTGTGTCTCTCTCTTTCTCCTTTCCCCCTTTCCTCAGGTCCGCAACATCCGCCACCTCAAGGCCCTGTGCGAGCAGGTGAACACACGCTCCTGGCCGCCGTCTTCTCTGCTCGCTTTGTTTTTCGTTTGGTTGCTTGCTTGCAAGCATTGGGATTACTCGCACTTCACATCGATGCAACGTCCTGCTCACATGTACTCCGTGTTGTCCGCCCCTCTGCGTCTGCGTACGTGTGTGTCGGTGCATCTTGACAGTCGAAGAAGTTTATCGTGATTGAGACGGGCGTGAAGCGCTCCATCGTCTTTGACGTCAAGGAGACAAAGAAGGTGACATGTCGCACGTACACATGCGGTGGTGCATCCTTGAACACGTGTGCAATGATACGACGAACCTCTCTGTTGCGGCCTTGCATTGATGCTGGCGTTACTGCTGTTTCTCGAGCGAATCACAACGAGTTGTCACCGCACGCTGATGTCCTCTTTTCCTCCTTTGTGCTTCTCACGAACGCTGACTTTATCATTCCTTCTGACCCCCCCCCCCTCCCACACACACACGCACACGCACACACACGCACATCTCCATCACCACACATCGCCAGGTTGAGAAGGAGATTCTTGAGACGTATGCGATTCCGTCGCCGTGCTCCAAGGACCTGGTCGACGTCGACGCCTCGTACGAGCCGCTGCCGGCGAGCGACTACGACGTGAAGGACGAGAAGGGCGAGGACGAGGCCACGGCGCCGTCGTGCGATGTGGAGGATGCAGATGAGGCAGGCGTGCTCCCAACCGCCGCTGCGACTGGCGCGACGGGCGGTGATGATGGTAGTGCTGAGCACGACACTGGTGCAGCATCGGCTTCGTCTTCGTCGTCGTCGAGGGGCCGGCGCGGCGGTGACGGCGCCACCATGGCAATGGACGCGCGGGCTGATGGCGATCACGACAACAACAACGACAACGACAACAACGACGGTGACGACGATGATGCAATGCCGAAGAAGCGCGCAAAGGCGACGCGTTCATCTCCCCGCCGCACCGCCGGCGCCACGAAGACCAAGGCGAGCAAGGCGGACAAATCATCCGCAGCTGGTGGCGATCGCGGTGGACGGCCACGCCGGTCAGGACGCAAGAAGCACGCGTGAGCAGCATGTGAGCAGCACACTTGCAGCAGCAATAGTCGTGGGCTGGCTGTGCATGGCATAGGGCGGTTTACTCATCGCATGTGCTTGCTTGTGTGTATGTTGTATGTGTGTGTGTGTGTGTGTGTGCGTGTGAACTTACAGTTGGTGTTATGTTAGATTGATGTTCGTTTACTGTTGTGAACGTGAGTCTGTGCTCTGTCCATTCGACCTTTTTTTCCCCTTTGGCTGCCAGTGTCAGTGTCACATGTGGGCGACACGTGCCCATCATGCGTGAAGGTCGCGGCTGCGTCAACACACGCACTTCAGTGCATTGCCGTTGTCGGTGGTGAATTACACAGGTGGCAAGCTGATCAGCACCCGAATGCGAATGGAAGAAAGAAGAGAGAGAGAGAGGGAGAGGGAGAGAGAGCAGGGGGGGGGGTGCAGTTTGTACAAGGTGTGCACGCCTTTTGCGAGTAGTACACATGGGAAGGCTTGATGTGAAGACAAAGATGTGTACATGTGTTGATGGTGGTGGCTGTGCTAGTCGGCGTGAGGTTTGGACAGTTGCGGGTCTTGCGGGATGGCGAGCAGCATCTGACGGGTTTGGGAAGGGGGCAAGCGATGCGTGTGTGTGTGTGTGTGTGTGTGTGTGTGTGTGTGTGTGTGTGTGTGTGTGTGTGTGTGTGTGTGTGTGACCTGCACTGAACCTGACAACAGACCCTGGAGTTACAGAGGTGAGCATTGTGTGACAAACGTTGCATGAGACAGGGGTTACACGCAGATAAATATCAGCTTCCTCCGTTTCCTAGGCCATACACATCGCACGCCCACACACACACACACACCCTTGTTAACAATAAAACACGATACTCAC